TTTCGAAACTGTTTAGCTACCTTTTTCTGATAATATATATGTTAGCTATAGTTCTCATAAACATGGCAAATTTCTGGCGAATTCTCTTGCGAAAAATTGATTTTGGTAATTTACTTTATTTCCATAAAGGCACTCTTTTGAAGTCTCCTTGGGTTTTTTGTTATCTGTCTCTTCTAAAATCCTGGCTTAAGATGATAGCCCTATTATCCCCTATCATCTTGCTAAAAAATAAAACTTTTAGATTCAAATTTTTGTAAGTGAATCTCGAATCAAGCATTGCATGTTTCTGGCATACCCGGCATGCAGAGCGTATCTTTCAGCTGCGATCACTGCGCTCTCTACAGCAACGCACTGTAGTTTTCGCGTCCGAAAGAAAGAACTTGCATTCTGCGGTTCGCAATTTTATCTTCGGTTTCAGTGAAACGAAGAAACAGTCTGACATTGCCGATAAGCGAATGCATTTTCACCACCGATTCTTCCGCAACTTTGAACCAGCTCGCATCTTTCACTTCCTTCTGTTCCGTTCCACTCTGGCTCTCATCTCCCGCAAAAATCCATTCTCATTATTTTCAGGTGCGATGGCAATTACTGAGGACAATGCCCTCAGCAGTTTGCATCAATTCCTTGCTGCTACCCAGGTAAGAACAGTACTGACCTCGATGTAACGGGTTCCAAACGCTCCTCTCCCTTGCAGCCCCTACAGCCATTGCAGCGCTCGCCAGAAAAAGTCCCAACCATGGACGATATTATGCATACCGTACTACAGCAGCTGCCCTCCTTCAACACCTACCCGGTAAGTGTCGCTACGCGACTGAGCTACCGTCTTAGGAATCTGGAGTTGAGGGAAGGGTTTGTATGGAAAAGCGGTTTTAGTTCTCCATCTCGGGAGAAGGAGGCCAGTAGGTATTTTTGGATAGTAAAAGGAACGAGGGATTTTCAAACTGCAAGTTTTCAAATAATTTAAGGAGGTATTCACATCTATGCCAAAACTTTAAATATGTTTATGAATTATCAGAAACCAAACCTCGCAAAAAATTTATTTTGGCTTATACTTAAGCTACTTGGCTCCTCTACTAGAAATAAATGGGCGTAGAAAATTGATTTTAAACTCAAGATTTGCTTCTCAAAATCGAAGCTACTTCAAACCTTATATAACTAACAGTTGTCGCTTGTTTTCGTTAAAAAAGGCCATTTTTGTAAGTATATTGGATCAGGGCATTAATGTCGCACGCATATGTTGTAATCTAGCGAGGAGTTATTTAGAATTGATAAGAACACCATGGAGTAGGCAGAATCTGCAGTGAAATGAACATCTTCAAAAACTAGTCAGTATCGCTTTCGATAATCTTACCTTTCGGAGTGCCTTTGAAGTGTTGCCAAGTTGCTCGGCAAAAACTCAATAGAAGATAAGGTGGCACACAGCTTAAAACTTTACTTCATTGAAAAGGGCGGAAGTAGGAATCACGCAAGCTCCAGTGTGAACTATTGCTTTATCTACACCAAAGATTAAGATAAACATACTTTCTCTCAGTTGATGCTTTGACTGATTTTCTTTACTCTTCCTATCTATTATAATGTCACATGATAGCGAAAAAAACGAAAAATCTCAGATCTTAGTTTGAGTTTAAATTTCTAAAATTGAGTTGTGAATGTTTACTTCTCCGGATGACCAGCTGTCTCTCTGCGACCACCAAAGACTATGGTAGAAATAGTAGAAGTCCATATTTATTAGATCCATCATCTTCAGACACCAGTGGATTCGAGACCAGCTGGGTCGTCGGATAGCGACACCCCCCGAAATCAAAGCCCTAGCAGCGACGTGGTAAATGACACTCAACCAGCACTTAGTGGGA